TCGTACTGCCGTGAGAATTGCTTAAGTGTTAATACTGAGAAAACCAAGACCGTGATAATTTGCTAGATCGGGGAGGGCAGCTGCAAGGAAGTTCAAATATTTTGAGTTTGGCGCGGAGAAAGTTGAAGTTGTAAGAGAATACACCTATTTAGGTGTTCCTTTTTCTCAATCGTGTTCCTTTCTCTCGGCGGCAAATAATGCAATTGATGCAGCGCATTTGGCAATTGGGGCAATTATGAATGTTATTTACTCTTCTGGGGCTGATTCTTGGGCCTCATATCGGAAGCTTTTCCACAGTCTTGCAGTAAGCATTTTGCACTATGGGGTGCAGGTGTGGGGTCTGAGATTTTTAGATGAGATAGAAAGGGTTCAATTATCTTTTTTGAAGAGACTTCTTTCTCTGCCGAGCAATACTCCGAACTACGCTGTTAGATTGGAGACGGGCTCTATTTGCCTTTCTCTTGGGGTTCTCTCGAATACACTGAACTGGATAATTAAAATTTCTCGAATGGATTCTTCAAGATATCCCAGACAGTGTTTCGAGGCCCTCATGAGACTGGCGATTGATACCCCTGGATATCGATCTAACTGGCTATTACAGTTTGAGGATTCTTTCGGTTTGAGACAGTTAAATGCCAATTGGTCGACCTCATCCCTGGACTCTATGGTGAGGAACAAGAATCTTATTTTGTAAAGATACTCTCACAATTTACGAGCCCTGGACTTGGAGCAGTGCTCCAGGTCCGGGAGTCTTTTAATTTATCCACAGCTTAATTTGAGACCGGGGCCCCAAAATTATTTAACCGCACGATTCCCGCTGCAAAATAAAAGAATATACGCGCAGATAAGACTTCTCAATAAATATGTTTGTAGGGTGAGTCTTGGGAAAATTGTATATAAATTCAATAAGGGAAAACTTTGTGCATCTTGCCGACGAGAGGAGGAGAGCTTTTTCCATATTATATTGGCAGAGGGTTGGTTTACTGTTCTGAACTCTTTGGAGTTAAAAGTCGTAAAAGAATTTGTGAAATTTATTAGCGTCTTGTTGCGTGAGCGTTACAATCTTCAGGCTTTGTAAATTGGAGGTCTTGGGTGTGTGAAATATGTTTGATTCAATGATGATTGTATTTTTGTTTTATTTTGTTTTACTTTTTTTTGTTACTACTATTATGTGATACGCGGTGCGATTCTCCACTTGTAATCAATACTATGATGTAGACAAGTGTAAATAAATAAATATATAAATATTAATTATTATTACTTTATGGTACATTCAACTTATTTTTCGATTTACCTATCGCAATTATATTTACATTAACTTAAAATTTCTAACGCTTGGGGATTCGAACCTACACCTATCTAACATTATAACGCACCGAAATCGAATACACTAACCACTATACCACGCTCGCATGGGAGTTCAAATTCATAATAGAATTTATAAAGTGCCACGAAAAGAAATTTAACCAGTGAATTCGCAGCTAATACGAAACAGTCTGCTTATGGACAGGTTTTTGTCGCTCGGAATTTGTCCGGATAAATTCAAACTCAATGCAGTTTGTGTATAACCAGTGAATCCGGAATTAGTCCGATCTAATCCGAAGTTAGTCTGATAGTACGCAACTTGCAAATATGAAATTATTAAATCCGGAATTAATCTGGTTTTTGTCAGGTTTTTGTCCTACGAAATTATAATTATAGTTTGAATTTATCTGCATTTAATACAAATTGTTTTTAATATACAAATGCAATATTATACCAAAATCATTCTGGATTATGTCTTTGAAATGGATTGTTTTGTACTGTCTGTGGATTGTATATATTTACAAATTCTTATAATAATAAGACTTATTTTCGGACTGGGGTGTTTTTTTTGATCGGATATTATTCGGATTGAGGCTGACTTTTACCGGATTCTTTGCATACAGATTTTGGATTGTTCCATACTTGTTTCGGATTAAATCTTTTAACTGGATTAAATTCGGATTATTGCGGACTGAATTCGTATTCTTCACATATTGATTTCGGATTATTTCGTATTTATTTTAGATGAGTTTTTTGACGGACATAATTTCGGATTGTTGCGTAATAATTAAGGAACATAATTCATAGACATTTAAGATTACTCCAGACGAATTTAGGATTCACAATTTCACTCGGATTGATGTTAGATTAACGCGGATCATTTTCGTACAATTATCGGACTAATCCACACTAATATACCAGCATTTAATCCGGATTAATGCGAAATTTTTACCAGGGATATAATATGATTCGGATGGCTCCAGACATTTTGCGGATTAAGTATTTTTAACTAGATTAAACTCGGATTGTTGCGGACCGATTCCGTATTCTTTACATATTGATTTCGGATAATTCCGTACTTATTTCAGAAGTATTCTTCACGGGCAAATAAATTCAGATTATTGCGGACTAATTACCGACTGAATTTGTAGACATTCAGGATTACTCCGGAGTGTTTTCGGATTCAGGTTTTCGTTCGGATTGATATCAGACTAGCGCGGATCATTTTCGGACCTTATTCGTACAATTTTCGGACTAATCCGTACTAATCTGTCCGTATTTAATCCGAAATTTTTATCAGAGAGAACACTACATATGAGAAAAGAAAGTTAACTTTATATATATGTTACGGTCATTGTCGATTATTGGGCATTGTCGACATTGCCCGGTCAATATCTAAAAATATTCATATCATTTAACTTTACGAGCAATGTCGACATTGCCCAGTCCAACTTGGGCAATGTCGAAAATTCTATATAATAGCTTCATACGTCATGACATATACAAAACTAATCACACAATAACGTATACAAAATTAACATTTACATTACATTTTTAGTAAAAATTCTTAATGAGTAACGGAATTCTAACTTCAGTCAAACTAAAATCAGTAACTAGTTAAGGAAATTTAATGAAATGTAACTGAAAATTTGGGAATAGTTTTAAAAAGTATAAAGAGTAACTGAAAATTACTAAACTGTAATAAAATTTTCAGTTTTAAACTATTTATTGAATTATGTTTATGAAATTTAATTACTAATAAATGAATGATTAATATTATTTGATTAAATAAATAGTTTTGTGTATAAAAAGTAAGAAATAAATATTATTAATATTATTTATCAGTTATTTTTTGACCAAATTTATTTATAAACCGTAAATAAATAATTTTTAAACACTAGCATTATTATTCAATATTTTTAAGTTTAAATAATTTTTTTACTGAAAATCTAGTGCAATAGAAAAAATTTTAAGACAAACTTAGAAATAATTATTTAAATAAATAAAACTTCCGTTGCTTGTTTCTGAAAAATCCTACAAAAATTTCTAACAATGTACACTCAGAAAAAAATTTGTTCGAAACAACCAAATTTTGGTTGAATCAACCAAATAAATGCATTGCTATACAGTCAACCAAACGTTTGTTTGATTCAACCAAAAAATTTCTTCCAATACGTTTATTTGTATTAACCAAATGGTTATTACACTTAACCAAAAAATTTTATTTAATATAACTAAAAAATTTGTTTATTTCAAGAGAAAAGATTTGTTTGATTCAAATAAATAGCTTTAGTAAACGTATTTGGTTTATTTAAATAAATATTTTTGTTTACTTAATTTTGTTATTTATTTTCCTCTAATAATATTTGAATTTCCTAATTTAATATTTTCTAGTACATATTATTGGTTAATTTATAATTTATTATATAATTATTGATATTTTAAAATTATACATATAATAAATTATAAATTAACCAATAATATGTATACTAGAAAATATTAAATTAGGAAACTCAAACATTATTAGAGGAAAATAAATAACAATTAAGTAAAATATTATATATGTATTTCTTCATATAAACAAAATTACTTAATTATAAAAAACATTTGAAATATTACATTAAACATATTATAATTATGATTTTTATACGTGCACTCAGAAAAAAGTTTATTCGAAACAACAAACTGAAAACTTCACAAATCGTTTTTGTAAATATTCTTCTCACTGGTACAAATTAAATATGCAGTAAGTCAATGAACACAATGTATTTAATATTTATTTAACCGACACTTATAATTTTTTTTCTTTGATTTACCGATTTAACAAATACATTTGACGCGAACGCGGACTGTAGACAAGTAAGATCGCCATTTTTAAATTCACACATGTACTTTTTAAGACAAGCAAATATTTTTGTTCGACTCAAATAAAATGATTTGGTTGAATCAAACAAATTTGTGTGTTGTGTCGAACAAACTGTATTTAACTAAACAATATTCTCTATTCAAAACACAAATTTTGTTAAATGAAACAAACAACTTCAAATAAAAAATTTCTTTCCAATAACCAAACAAATTTTACGTATTTATTAAAATAAACCAAATTTTTATTTAAATCAACAAAATTGTTTTATCGTGACAAATAAAATAGGTTAATTAAACAGTTTGGTTAAGTGAAATAAACTTTTTCTCTGAGTGTATAAAAGATGCACCTGCAAGACAGGATAACTGAATCGTCTTTTTTTATTCGTAAATAACATTGCCCAAAAGTAAGTGGGCAATGACGACATTGCCCGGGCATTACTGACTATGTCCGGGCACTGTCACATTTTACTAAATTTTGTTAAAAATACCCGGGCATTGTCGACATTGCCCGGGCATTGTCAACAATGTCCAGTGACTGTGGGTATTGTCGACAATGCCCAATAATCGACAATGACCGTAACATTTAGATAAATTTTTCTCGACGATACCTTGAGTAAATCTTTATGGATAAAATAATTGAGAACTACTGTTGTATTATAACTTCACATTAAAATTATCGAAAAAGAAAAATTTCACTGGGTGGATCCCACTCAACCTTTCCGCTCGCCGGGTTGAATCTGATCTCAGAAAATCAAATTTTTAACCAAGGTCACTTCGACTAGAATTTCTCTTACATAAAATTATGTGGTTGGAAATATACATTTTTACAGGTATATTTCTTCGGTTCTGGAATTAGAAAATGTTGACGATAAATCAAGGATAAGAGGAGTAGATGAAAGTAGGAAAAGGAAAAGAGGTCTATGTCTGTCTGTTGAACAGAAGGAAGAGGAGTTATTACCACAATTAAAACCAAAACAAGGAACAGATCTTAAGTTAACAAAATTACCAAATTTGCAATATCCAGAAGGTTCAACACCTGCAGAAATCACAAAACATTTAATGGATTCAAGTTATACACTAGATCTACTTCTAAGCAAATTGAAAAAGTGAGTTCGATAAATATTAACATTTAATTATTTTAGAAACAATTTTATTCTTAAATTTAATTAATAGAAATATTGGGAACTCTCACCAAACAGGAATAAGATTAGGATATGAATAGTCAAACGACGATTCTATAAGTTTCTTAATACCATACTTACAAAATTTGGCAAATTATATTTTTGGCATATATATTTTAAACAAGTATTACAGTTAATAAAGGTGAAAGTAGTTAACAATTTTTCCGAATCAATCTCACAAACAAATCTCTTAAATAAATCTCTTAATAAGCTCATGGGTTTCATATGTATCGACAGCACAGCTGCCCTAATACAGAAACCTGCTTAATCTGAAAAATATTTTCGAAATTAATTAATAATTTCAAAATTATCAAAGAACTCAGAAAAAACGGTAGCATGGTGGGATACGAGCCCACGACCTTTCTATTGCCGGTAGACTGCTCTGACCACTGAGCTACATGCACACCGAGATTCTCCGAGTTCCTTGATGTATACTATCCCTTCATACATTATTTTAATGATAATGCAGGAAGTTTCTTAAAGATGGTATAACCCAGGAGGAAAAGTCGGACGAATGTCGGATTATACAACCGCCTGGGATCCGCGCCCGTACGGACCGCCAGCACCGATGGTCTGTACCGATTCGGATCCTAAAATGCAACCGGCGCGGAACAGATTAGGCTCCGACTTTTGGATCCGCCTTTCTACTTTCGTCAGTACTGGCGCGGTACTGGATTTGTTCCGCCTGCGGATTTCATTCTTCTACGGGCGTCGGAAGAATGACGGATGTTAGGTCTGTACTGGCTCGGTGCTGAGGCGGATCCGACTGCGGATCTCGTCATTTATTGTTATAGTTTACATTATCAGTATAATCATAAATTTATTTTATTATTATAATTAATTATTACAATAACTAATTGCATTTATTATAATATTATTATTAGTTAATCAATAAATAAATTAATAGTATTCATGCAAAGGAAGAATATAAGAAACTTAATTTTTTCATTATATATATAAAAATCCAACTTTATTAATGTGCAATTAAATAAATAATTTTTAATAAATAATATATTAATTTGAAAGAAGTAAAATATATTTAACTTGAAAGAAAATGTGATTAATATATTATAATGCCTGCAATAAATAACATATTAAATACAATATATAAAAAAAATTGGACAAGTGCGAGTTGAACTCGCACTGCAATGGCGGGTTCCGTACACAAATATTAAAACAATACTTGCAACATTTATCGGTAATTGGTAGAATTAAAATAAACAATTAAAAAAATATATTAATATCATTTGATAAAAAAAATAAATAAAAAAATTAAAGTATTGTATATATCTAATATTGTAAACAATAATAAGTAGAGGAACAAAATTTTTTGCTGTTTTTATTGTTTTATTTTTAAAGTTTTGTAAAAAATTTTTAAAAAATGTAAAAAAAAATTTTTTTGTTAAAAAATCTAAAAAAAAATTTTTTTTAATTTTTTTTTTTTAGATTTTTAAATATATTTTTTGTGATCAGACTGTAAAAATAGACTAATAAACCCATTTTTAGTTAATTAGATCAAATAATGTAGAAATTAGAAAAAAAAAATTTCAAATTTTTTTTCAGTTTTTCCTTGACAACGCTATGGACATTAATACATAGCAAGTTCTCTATATTTTTCCTGTAATATTCACGATAAAATACACCAGTATGTTAAATTTTAGCCCTCCATGTTGAATAGTTTAGAAGTTAAGGGGGGGGGAATGGTCACTTTTTATGCATTTTTGGCCAAAAATCTTGTTATTTCCTTGACAACGCTATGACCATCATCTCCAAACACATTCTCTATATTTTTCCTGTAATCTACGTGTGAAAATACATATCTGTACCAAATTTGAGCTCTCTAGGTCAAATAGTTTAGCTGCTAGGGGGGGGACACGATTTGGCTACGGACAACAGAGTCTCACCAATAGGGTTCCGCCGATACACCGTAGGTGTACGGAACCCTAAAAAGAGATTATTATTAATTAATTTATTATTAATTAATTAATAATCTCTTTTTAATTTAAACAATATATTAAGTAATTATTTATTGACACTTTTCTGCAAATTAAATAATTAAAAAAATGTGTTGTGCATTAAAATTTTATTCAATTTAATACTATTACTTATATGTTATAAATTGTTTTGCAGTGAAGTTATGTTCATATTATTCGATATATTATGTAAGGGGCCGTCCATAAATTACGTAACACGTTTTTAGTAAAATTTTGAACCCCCCCTCCCCCTATGTAACAAGTTATAACAAAATCGTTTTACACCCCCCCCCCCTATCAATGTTACGTAATTTTTAAAAATATTTTTTTACTAACGTTTTTCGAAACAAATTTGTTTATTACTGTTATTTTTAGTATTTATATTGTACAAATAGCAATACAAAATTAAGTTAAATATAAAAAACATTTAGAGGAATAATTTTATTAATCATACTGAACAACCAAAAATATAACATTGATTTTTTAACAATAAAAATTGTATATTATTCCCAAGAATCGATTCGCGAAATGATTCGATTTTTACTTATTTTGAAGTGGCGGCAAGGGACAGCTTTTCAAAAATTTATCCATTATAAAGAGATTAAGTTCCTTATAAATATTACGTAACAATGATGATTGAAACGTAACACGTATAGGAGGGAGGGGGGGTTCGAGAAAATGTTATCATATGTTACATGGGAGGGGGGGTCAATCATCATTGTTACGTAATATTTATAAGGAACTTAATCTCTTTATAATGGATAAATTTTTGAAAAGCTGTCCCTTGCCGCCACTTCAAAATAAGTAAAAATCGAATCATTTCGCGAATCGATTCTTGGGAATAATATACAATTTTTATTGTTAAAAAATCAATGTTATATTTTTGGTTGTTCAGTATGATTAATAAAATTATTCCTCTAAATGTTTTTTATATTTAACTTAATTTTGTATTGCTATTTGTACAATATAAATACTAAAAATAACAGTAATAAACAAATTTGTTTCGAAAAACGTTAGTAAAAAAATATTTTTAAAAATTACGTAACATTGATAGGGGGGGGTGTAAAACGATTTTGTTATAACTTGTTACATAGGGGGAGGGGGGGTTCAAAATTTCACTAAAAACGTGTTACGTAATTTATGGACGGCCCCTAATAAAATATTAAAAAACATAATAATAAAAATATAACATTTTTTTTTAAACGAAATATTGAAATATTCATAAATACACATTCAGTAAAGTATTGAAAATATACCGGTATTACATCAGTTCGTATTTCCAAATTGCCTATTGCCGCGTAGTAATTTTACAATTTTTATTTCAGCTAGTGAGACTTGAAAGCATTTAAGATTTGAGAGTTCCATGCGAGCGTAGCATAGTGGTTAGCGTGCGTGATTTCGGTGCGTAAATATTCGGTTAGGCGTAGGTTCGTACCCCCAAGCGTTAGGATTTTTCAAATGTGAATATAAAAAAATACCGTTAAGTGTATAAAAAAATGTGTAAAGTGAACTATCAATGAATTGTTATCAGTATTTATCTTTTGCAATTAATTATTATTTTTTCATTGATATTTGTTGAAATTATCATTTGGATCCGACCCAGTTGTCAGTCGGTAGAATGCCAGCATTGCCAGCGCACATCTGGCTAGGAAATGAAAGATCCGCAGTCGGTACAGTGCCGGGTCCCAGCCGGTTGAATTATACACGGAACGGCTCTTCGCGGCCGGTTACCGGGCGGTAGAATGCCAGTTCCGAGACGGATGGCCAGCCAGCTCCTGGCCAAGTCATCTTTTGGTAGAATATCAGTTCTCGGGCGGTAGGCAGGCGGTTCCCAGCCAGTACCACTACTCCGGCGTCGGTACAGGCGAGGATCCGCGCCGGTTGGAAATTTCCCACTGGGAAGCCAAATTTTTCAATTCATAATTCAAATTTTTTCAATTTCTTTCACCTTTAATATTTAATTACGGAATGATAAATTCATTTCCTTTTATTATAGTTATTATTAATTTATTAAATGAAAATTATTATTAAAAATCGTACTAATCGACTATTTCAACTTAACTGCATTTTTACTGAACTTACAGAAATCAAGAATCATTTTAATACCGAGTGAGTTATTATTATTTTAAATTATCGGTTATAAAATATATACATGTTTACCCAGATAGCACAATAATAAGTTCCCTGAACTTTTAAATGTCCTCCGATTTAAACTTAACGGTGTTAGCTTCCTGGAAATTATCGATATAAATTTGCTGAAAAATTGACATGTATCCCCTTGCGAAATCGTTTTACCAAATGTCTCCCCACGTGGGTATACATTTGGGATACATTTGGGAGACATTTGGTAAATTGCTTTATAATTCTGTTAAAAGACAGAATTTGATGAAAAAAACGATTGGAAATTGAAAAGGAACATTTGGAGAATGAAATTATGCAAATATTTTTATAAAAAAAGCTTTGAATAATTAATAATTAACTGAAATGTGCAAAAATGTCATTATGATTTTATAGCAAGGTTATTTTTCATAATTACTTATGAAAACGGTGTAAATAAAGGAAAAAATAGTGTATATTGTTAAAAAAACGTAAAAATATTAATTACATCTATTAATAAGACTAATTAAACAATAAAACTTGTAATTTAATTAAATGCAAATGGTAAAGTGATATTAAAGTAATATCTACTTTACCAACAACTTATTCTATTTCAGCATTAGAAAGACACTAGAAACAATCAAAAGTCCCTAACGGCAGATATCCCCGCGCGGCGTTTGGTTTGACGCAATATTCTACAGGGTGTTCTTTTTTTAATGATGGCAGAGAAATGCTACTTTTATATTAAAGTAACTTACACGGAGAAAAATAAATAGTAATAATTATACTATTTTCGATGAAAAATTACTACTTTTAAGTAGTAATTTTGAAACTGCTCGAAAAATAGTAACTTTT